TTATATAGAAGCAAACAATTGTCAGACTTCACATTTTTCTAGAAAAATGCAATAACTGAGTTTCACATTTAGGCAAATAATTTAACTATCTGCTCTGTGAAGAGAGTAGTTCTAGCAATACAAATATGAATTATCAGACACTGATGAAATGAGACATTCTTATAAATAATTAAAATCAAATAGGAAGGGTAAAGTGTCCTAAGAATGGTAAACAAAATCCTAAAGGAATTCAGATTAAAAAGTTATTTATGTTGGGAGGTCAGGAAGGATTCATGACATTTGAGCTAAATCTTGAATGCCAGAATTTAAATTGGGAACAGCATTCTGGGCAACAGGAATTAAATGAAGGGGGCTAGATGAAAGAGAATGAAAGTCTTTAGAGAAGGCACCTACAGGATCTAGTAAACTGTTCTGACTCGAGTAGAGGATGCATACAAGGGCACAAAAAACTGGGAAAGTATACATATGGAGACAGAAAAATAACTGAATGCTAAGGGAGATCACCATTGTTGGTTATGAACAATTGGTAAGGAGTGGGGCAAGAGATCTGATGTGGGATAGAATTTATCTAGCAGCAAGGACTGGAATGGACTGGATGAAGGGGAGGCATCAATTAGGTTACTGCCAGGATAATGAGGAACTGAATTGTGGTGGTAAAAGTGTAAGAGGAAGAAGAGAAAAAGTACTAAGTTTCTAGGTCTCTAAATGTATAGGTGCCATTCCACTCTACTGACAAATTTTTAAAAGCTTCAAACACACCATTCTCATTTTTAAGGAAACTGTTATCCAGAAGAATAAAAATTGCTAAAGTAAAAAATCACTCACTAAAAAGGTAGCTATATATTTCCTGACAGGTATTACAAACAAGTCTGTTTTTCTACTGGAAATCATGAATAAGAGCCAAGAAAGATGGTCAAGAAAAGCATGATTAATGAAGTTGGAGTTGATCTGCACCTCCATGAAAAGGAATTTCACATAAAGGGATTCTTTAAGTTAAATATGCTTAATAAAACCAAGATTTGTGAAATACATTTTGGATAATTTCCACAAAGTAAACAAAATGCTAATATTAAAAAACTTTCAATTAGTTACCTGAATTTAACTTCATAAAGATATTAGAAAAACAAGGTAACACATTTTTATAATTCTGAATGCTTACAAATAAGTCTTTTATTATAGTCTGATTTTGAGATTATTTTTAATGTGTTTCATAAGACAGAACAAAATTTTCCCCCCCATCTTGAAGAGAGTTTTATTCACTCACAACTTGATATATCCAAAAATGCTGTATTTTGTTAATTATTAAAAAAAAAGTTAATCAAAACGTGAGATAATCTGGGCCTCCCTGGTGGCACACAGTGTTATTAAGCAAAGTACTGTGACGCTGTCTATAGCCACTGCAGCATGAGTTGGACCCCTGGCCAGGGAGCTGGTACACATCAGGCAGCAGACTTCTCCTGTCTCGCCTACTGCTCCCCTCAGCAGTGTATTTCAGTAGATCTGCCTGTTCTGCTCCCCACTCTGTCTCTAGTGAATCCTCTCATCATCCACACACGTCTGTCCTGTACCCGTACTTGTATGCACAAATAAATCTTAAAAAAAAAAGTTTATCTGATAAACTCTTCTGCCTTCTTTGTATTTGCATTTAAGTGACAACTGGAAGATGAACTCAGATGCATTTGACTCCAAAACTAGAGCTATACTTGTATTGATTGCTGTTTCAACAATAACTTTATTCTGAATTTAAAATCTCAAATATATTTATCACAAAGTGTGGGCAGGAAGAGGAGCAATAAATTGCAAATTATATAATGACAGCATAACAGAGACACTACACACATACACTTAGTTGATAGATATGTGTATATACTTATACAGAAATACTCCAAAGTGACTTCTATTGTTGTTCACTAAATACTAAAAGCTCCTTTTAAAGAGTGCCAGTCTTGAATTAGTATAGGGCATATGGGTCTTAAAGGACAGAGGTACCACAGTGTACTCATATCTAACTTTCAGTGTCAGGCTACCTACCTGACTTTTTTGGGGGCCTTCACATTTTCCAGTTTTTCAAGACTTAACGCCCCTCTTAGTACCTTTCTAAGACTGCTCGATGGGCAGATTTCTTTTGTTTAAGACATTCAACTGCACTTGCTTCAAAATAAATATACTAATTCATTTAAAATAAATCTCATTCAATCAGTAAGTTTATGCCTAGTATATGCCAGGCAATGCTTTAAGTATCTGGGAAATAAACAATTAAAAATCCCTTCTTCAGGGGAATAGCTGCCTAGTGAAAGAAGACAGGTAATAAATATACTAAGTAAAGACAGTATGTTAGAAAGAGATAAATGCTATGTGGGGGTAGGGAATAGGGTAAGGGAGAAATCCTGGATGATAAAACAGGTTATAATATTAAATTGGATAATCAGAGGAGGGTTAAAAAAAAACTGTCATTTGAGTAAAGACTTGAAGGTGAGAGTCTGCCATGCTGACATCTGAAGGCAGGCAGTAACTTGCATAAAGGTAGAGAGTGAGTATACTAGTAATAAGGAGGCCAGAGAGGCTGTGGGGAATAGTAGGAGAGGTGTCAAGAGAAGGATACAGAGGGTTAGAAGGTAAAGATAATGTAGGATTTATGGATTCTGGAAAGGATTTTAATTTTAATGAAATAGAGATGCACAGAAAGTTGAAGAATGTTTTACCAGAATCATTTTGGCTGCTGGGTTAAGAACTGGCTGCAGGGAGGGTAAGAGTGAGACCAGTCAGGAGGCTAGTAAAGAAAGCCAAGAGAGAAAAATATCTATTTCCTATAAACTTTGGCCATAATGATGTAGTGTCTACTTTAGTAGACAACCAGCCAATCAAATCTACCTAATACATAGGAAATAACTGGAACTTAATAAAACTGTCACAAATAATGTTTTCAGAAAATGTTCACAAATTTCTTCATGATGCCAAAAAATTCTACTTGTCCTTTAGTCCTCCTGGAGTAAATAAATACAATTCCCATAAATTGTAAAGAAGTTATCCTTATTACTATATTATAAAGATAGAAGAAAATGTGCAAAAAATTGAAGGTTTTAAAATAAAAATTTGTATCTCTAAAAATTATTTGCTAATGAAACAGAACTAAGCACATTATTGTATTTATGACAGAAACAAGAGTGAAATGTAAACAATTTATATGCTTTCAAAGATTCAGAAAGACATACAGACTTGGCTTAGATTTTTAAAAGATGTCTGCATACGATAATTCTTTTAAAGAAATGGATGTATAAACATACAAAGCACAGGATGAATTGAAATTCATTAATTCACTCAACACTTAAGTGCCAGAAACTGCACTAAGATTTCCCTGTTCTCAAAGGTTTAGAGTTCCCCCACTGTTACTGAGTGTCTACAATGAATCTACTGTGAGCCAAGTTCAAGGGACCCAACCACAAACAGGAGACATGGGCTCCCTACCTTCACACTGTTGACAATGGCACAGAAGGGGAATGGTTCCAGTAGGAGACAGTCATCTAACTAAACATGGTGCAGCTTATGAAATGCTAAGGGGCTCTGGGGGGACACAAGCAAGAGTTACAGATTCAAGATGGAAAGGAGGGGAAAGTGAGGTCTTCAGATAGGAGAAGAACTGAGTCCTCAAAAAGGATTAGATGTTCACCTGGCTGACCTTGGGGGAAGGGCTCTAAGCTGAGGGAGTAACAGGAGTAAAGACAGAGGTGTGAGCAGTTGCGTGTATTTAGTAGGCCTGGAACACAGAATCTGAGCAATAAATCATGGAAGTTTCCATATGCCACACTTAATATAGGAGCATACTGGTATATATGAAAGCCTCCGAAGGGTTTTATTCAGAAAACCAACATATGTGATCAGGTTTTTCTGGATTGATGAGACACTGGTTTACACAGGAATGAGAAAATGATTAACACTAGATAATGATGTCACCACATGAAACAACAAAGGAGACTACCCAGTTAGAAAACTCAACCTCCTCCAGGAAAATATTAAGCCACTTAACTATCCAAGACCTTCTGAGAAAAAGTCTTTAATCCGCATCATTTAAAATGGAAAAAGTAGAGAAAAGGTGTCTTTTTTTTTTAATATATAGTATGGAATATAACATCTACATGTCTAGTTTGGGTTTTCTCAAGGGTCCTAGTTATTAACTGTGTAAACACATCTGGGACTATTAATTGCTATACAAAAATCAATGAAACTATTTAGCAGAAAGTCTGTGAAAAGGGGGGAATCACAAGTAATGAAGGTATTTTTCAAGGCTGGTGTAAAGGTTTCCAAAGTTCAAGATAATCAAGTTTTATTAAGTCAGCGCGTTTAAAAGGTGTGTCATAGGGGTGGAGCAAAAGGAGGAGGGATTAATACATATACATACATATAAACAAGTCGATGTCACGGGACCAAAACCCCACTTTAGGATCTTCTCCCAAGTAGACGAAGAAATGAACACCACCAGATCCAATTAACAGAAGGGGGGGGAGGGGTAGGAGTGGGTAGAGAGGGGAGATGAAGGAAAAGCGGAAAGGACACTAACACAGGAAAATATAAATGAGATTGGGGGGCCCCACCAAGACCCACAATCCAGTTGGCTGCGCAAAGAGGAAGTCATACCCCAAATCCCAAAGCTCAGACTCCACGACTCGGCCTTAATGGCAGGAAAATGTCACTCCCAAAGTCCACAAGCGAACCGGCTGACCAGGGCGCTGTGATCAAACACTGGGATCCCAGAACTCAAGGGCAGAGAGTACCATCCCCACTCAGTGCCTGAGGGGAGGTGAAAGATCACCCCTATTCTGACAGTCTGGAGCAATCACCCTCAGATCCAGTCCTAAGGGGGCCAATGACCCCCAGGATCGGCCTTGACAAAGCCAGGGGCAAAGACGGCCCCAGCTGCCCCCCCACCCCAATCTCTCCCAGAGCAGCCTCAACACCTCGCACCCCCCTCCACCCCCCGCTCCCCAACACACACCCTTCCCTACCTGATATGGCGGCGGCGGCTCCTGATCCGGCTCCGTCCCTTCGCCAAAGCTAGCCCGGTCGGACTGAGACTCGTGAAGCAGGGAGATGTCATCCGAGGTGGGGGACTTGAGGCAATTCCCCATCTTCCGAGGCTGGGGTGTGTGATCTGGGGGAGGAAGAAAGCTGTGGCGGGGTAGTTCGCACGCTCCGCGATCAGCGAGGTGGGTCCGCGGCAGGCCGGGGCTCAGGCGGCGGCGGCTCCCCCGCCCCCCGGCGCAGCCGAGGAGCCGCTCATGCCAGCCCCCGGGGGTGGGGGCTCAAGGCTGGGCCGCTGGCTTCGCTGGGGTCGCGGCGGTTGCCTCCTGCGGGGCGGCGATGGGGGGGGGGGCGGGGAGACGAAGCACTTCCCCACCCCGCCCCCCCGCGGGGCGGCGGCGGCCACGGAGCTGCTGGGTCTAATCCAGGTCAGGAGGGGGGGGCGCGGCCGTCGCGGCTGCCTCAGCTGCTGCCTCAGCTGCTGCTGCCCCCGCCGACGCCCGAGCCACGGCCGCGGGCCTCATCCTACTCCGCCTCAGAGCGGCGGCGGCGGCCAGAACGAGGCCAGCTGCGGGTCTGCGTCACGCCGCCGTGCGTGCTCTGGTCCCGCCCTCGGCGCCGGGGGGGTGTGGGCGGCCCCGGCTGCGCGCCGGCTCCCCCTGCCGCAGCTGTTGCTGGGGCTGGTCAGTTTGTGCTTCTCTGACGGTTGGCGGGGCACGGGACTTGCTAACTTCTCTTTGGTCTCCCGCGGCTCCTTACCTCCACTTGGCTCTCCCAGCTTACCTCAGCTCTTACCTGTGCGCGACTCTGACTGTCGTCTTGCCACCTCCTGCCAAGTGAGCTATTTATAGACACGTATGTAATTGTATTAACTCCCAGGGTAAAATGTGAAATGGCTGTCCCTCAATCCCTTTAGAATCAATCCTAAACTTATGCATGAACCTTCCCAACGTCTCGAATGCTTTCCTTATCCTCCTTCAACACAACCCGAGATTCTTCTTCCAGTTGTTTATCCCAGATTGTTCTGTTTCTTTCCATTCCCACCACCATAGTCCAAGACACCACCATCTCTTCCCCCAGATTAGTGCATCCTCTTAGTTCTCCCTGCCTTCATCATTGCCCACAAACAAATTATCTGCATAATGGAATTTTGTTTTTAAAATGTAAATCTGAGATTGTTATTCCCGTAGATAACCTTCCATGACTTTGTAATACTGTCATGACCATTATGACTTAATTTTTAAAAGGTTTACAAATCCGACTCCCGGATCTCGTTAACAACACTGCCCTTCCATATTTGCTAAACTCTAGGCTACCGATATTATTTTCCGAAAGAAACTTATTTCTCCTCATTCTCAACCTTCAACCTTCCATCAGGCTCACCATTTATTCCCACTTGCCTTCCTGAATTCAACCTTATTTTCCCTGGAAAGCCTCTCCTGACCCTCCAGACTAAATCATTCACTTCCTCTGTGCCACGAGTCCAGTGTTGTTCTCTCATAGTCTGATCAAGGTGAATCGTCTGCCCCTTCTTTGTGCATGTCCTGGCATATTGCCAGCTAGAGCAGGCTCTTGGCTGAATGAATAAACAACTCAAGCAGCATCCTATACAAAGGAAAGAAACAAGATGAGTCTGATCCCCATAGTCATTCGTTCAATGAAATAGATCTCAACTATTTCTTTTATTCATTATTTACTTATTTGTGTATGTGCACCAGACCTACTAGTCACAGGGAGACTGATTAACCAGACCTGGTTTGTTCCAGATTGAGCTCAGAGTCCATCTGGAATGACAAGTAAACAGATGAGACCTTCTAAGAACTTTCCCCACTACATATTTTCAAGGGGTCCTGGTGAGAGTCAGACAGGATTGTTGGAGAATTTTTTAAATGATATGAGTCTGAGTGCTCTAACTTTGGAGTCCCTATTTTCCAAATCACTATCTTATTTTAATGCACTATACTCCATATTAAATATAGCCATGTTACTATATTATGCCCTCCTCTCCAAGGCTTACCTTCCTTCCCGTTAGTAGCTTCTCTCTAAATCGATGTATTCCTAATGCCTTGTTTGTATTAGAATCTTCCATACATCCCTGAGAATCATTGCATAATTATTGGATCCTTTGGGAGCGACATTTCAGGCATTCATCTCTTTCCCCTTTGCCATTTTCCTTGTCTCTTTTGAACTATTGCAACAGCTTTTTAATAAAGCCCTTGCTTCTTAATCATCAGTCCATTCTCCACATGACTGCCATAAAAAAAATGTGACCAGAGAGCATTTGTAGACTTGTGCTTCAGAAATGTAACATCACATTAAGGCCTTGCATCACTTGGTCCCATCCTTATCTCCCACGTGGCTCCAACTCCAGCCAGGCAGCCTACATTCCAGACACATCACGCTGCTTGCCATGCCCTTGTTTTCACCACACTTTTCCACCTCTGACCTATTGCCTTGATGTTCCCATCTGTTGAAATCCAGCCATCTCTTCAGACCCTTTCTAACACTTTTCATACCTATCAATCAGTTGGAATATATGTGACAATATAAAAAATGGGGAAAAAAGATATCATTGTACTATATTGCATACACATCATGTATGGATATTTTACTACATTTTAATGTATGTAATTATATATGTATGCCATTTATGTATATAAGAGCTCTGAAAAGCATATATTAATAGTGTTGTTTTACAGGAGTTGAAACATGGCTTTACATTGCTATTCAGAGGTATATGGATCATATATTCCCGGTTACTTTTATTAGATTCTAGAAAGGGATTGTATTTTTTTCATTCTGGTATTCATCCTTTAATGTGGGAAAAAAAAAGGGAAGGGAAGGGAGGAAGACTTATTTTGAATGCCTTTGACTTTCAAATGTACCATTGTAAGGAAATAGACATTAAGCATCTTTCTTCCTAACACAGCTTTAGGGGAACCCTTGGGAAGTAGGCTGAAGGCCAGAGAGTATAACCTCATCAGAAAACATAATTTCAAGTTGAATATAGTAACTACTGTAGTGACAAAGGCTCTCTCCATGACCTACTGAGGACTTACAGAAACTCCTCAAAGTTCTAACCTGAACTCTGTTCTTGGCCCACTTAGTATTGTTTTCGCAAGAATCTAATGGAGTCTGTTTAGCCAGAATCCTCTACCTTCAGTATCTGACTACCCTGGTCTATCCTCAACAAAAATACCATCAAGACTGAGCCAGAATATAATACTTATAATAAATAATTATAATAATAGAAATACAAATCATATTTGTCTTTTTGTGATTAGCCTATTCTATTCACTTAAACCATAATGTCTTTAGATTCATCCATGTTGTAGCAGATTGCAGAATTTCCTTCCTTTTTAATACTGAATAACATTCCATTGCATGTGTATACCATGTTTTACTTTTGCATTCATCCATTGATGGTTCCTTTGTTGCTTCCATGTTTAGATATCATGAACAGTGCTACTACAAACATGGGTGTACACATCTCTCTTTGAGTACCTGCTTTCAATTAGTTTAATTATATGCCCAGAAGTGGAATTTCTGGATAATGTAACTCTAATTTCTAACCTTCTGAGGAATTTCCATACCATTTCTGCCAGCATCTCTACTATTTTTTATTTTCACAAATAGTCTAATTGCATGTTTTGGTGGACATAAGCTTTCAACTCATTTGTGTGAATACCACTGAGCATGCTTACTAGATTGTTTGGTAAAAGCATGTTTAGTTTCCTAAGGAACTGATAAAGTGGCCATGTTTCTTTGTATCTCACAGGCAATGAATAGAGTTCCTATTTCTACATATCATCACCAGTATTATCAGTCAGTGTTCTGGGTTTTAGCCATCCTGATATGTGGGTTGTGTTGTCACATTATTGTTTAATTTCTACTTCCCTGAAATTCTCCTTTTATATGCTTATTTGCCATCTGTATATTTTCAGTGGTGAAGAGTTTGTTCACGGTCTTTGGCCTACTTGGGATCAGTGGTATAGAGGGGGCACCTAGATTTTGGTCTAAGGTGTTTTTTTTTTTTTTTTAGCTGCACAGAATTTTTTAAAAACTAAATTTACGCACTAATTGGGAAAACATTTTCTCACACAAAAGTAGTGATAAAGGACTGATCACAAAAATATACAGAGAACTGATGAAACTCAACAAAAATAAAGTAAACAACCCCATCAAAAAATGGGCAGAAGAGCCAAAAAGACGCTTCTCCAAAGAGGAAATGCAGATGGCCAACAAGCATATGAAAAAATGTTCAACATCACTTGTAATAAGGGAGATGCAAATTAAAACCACAGTGAGATACCACCTTACCCCAGTGAGAATGGCACATCTTCAAACAACTAGCAATGAGTGTTGGCGAAGATGTGGACAAAAAGTAACTCTCCTGCACTGCTGGTGGGAATGCAAACTAGTACAATCACTATGGCAAACTGTTTGGAGGTTCCTCAAACTGCTAAACATGGAGCTTCCCTACGACCCAATCCCACTCCTACGACCTAATCCCACTCCTAGGTATCTACCCAAAAGACACAAAAACACTGATTGAAAAAGATACCTGCACCCCCATGTTTATTGCTGCTTTATTTACAATTGGAAAAACATGGAAGCAGCCCAAATGCCCAAAAGTAGATGACTGGATTAGAAAGATGTGGTACAGATATACAATGGAATATTACTCAGCAACCAAAAAAGAGAAACACATGTCTTTTGCAGCAACTTGGATGGACTGGAAAAGATCATGCTTAGTGAGATAAGACAGAAAGAGAAAGAAAAATACCGGATGGTTTCACTCATAGCAGGAGTATAATGGACCAAGGGAGAAAATAACAAGAATAATGAACAACCATATACCAGAGACATTTTGCGGGGGTGGAGTGGAGAATGGGGTCAAAAACAGGGGGGTGGGGAGGGAAGTGCATGGGATTATGGTGATGGCACATGGGTGACTTGGTGATGGGAAACCTGTGGGGATTACAATTGAGATGAAAAAAAAAATGTACAAAATGTCAAAATAAACTGTTATAAAATAAAAAAAACTAAGTTTATTACATCAGCCTTCATTTTTGTACAATGCATGATTTCCTGTGAAATTCCCACCACCAGTTCACCAGTGCACCTACCAGTGTCCCTTGTGCTCTTCCCAATCCTGTCCTGGCCCTTGGCCCTTCTCCCCTATGGAATGTCTCTGATCTATAGTTGTCTGATTTCAGCCCTTGTTTTAAGAGTTATTTCCTTACTGTTGACTTGTAAGAGTTCCTTATATACTTTAGAAAACAGTTATTTTTTTGCAACTGTTTCTCCCTGTGTTTCCTCTCTTTTCATTTTCTTGAAAATGAAAAATTTTTGCAAAGCAGAAATTTTTAGTTTTAATGAAGTCCACTTTATCAATTTTTTAAAAAGATTTATTTATTTGTGCATACAGAACTGGGGTATAGGACAGAGGTGCAGGGGCAGTGAGAGGATTCACTAGAGACAGATTGGGGAGCAGAACAGCCAGATCGAGGAAGTACACTGCTGAGGGGAGCAGCAGACAGGTCAGGAGAGGTCTGCCACACCATGTG